CAACTGAGCACGACGGATGCTGCTCCGGCCATCTCAGCTATTCATCAAGGCCTGCAAAGTGTCACGAGAGGAGGGGGAAAGGGCTGATAAGGAATTAGGTCTCCAGCAGCATGAGATAGAGCAGGCAGCCCAAAAGAGGAGTTAATCTCTCCAAAAAGACAGGTAGAGAAATGGGACTCGCTCCCGCTGGAATTCTCCAGGCAGAGTTACAGTTGCACTGGGGAGCAAGGAGCAGAAGGAAGGGACGCAGAGGCACCAGCAAAATGCTTGAGGAGCCTTTTGAGCCAAAGACTGTTACTGGATCTTAATCAAGCTAGAGGGGCAAAGAACCCAAAACACATCGCCCTGCTATGGCAGCCACTAAAGCAGCCAGATATTTCAAGAGTGGAAAAATGTCTCTGCCTCTTGCTTTACCCTGAAGGACTCTCCCCCACTCTCCCCCACTCTCCCCCTCCCCACGGCCTTGGAAAGAATTCACTTCTCTGCACCTTTCAAATCACATCCAGATTTTCCCTGGCATGGGATCCAAAGTCACTTCAAAAAAAGGCAGCCCCAAGTGTGCACATAATTAGTCCCAGCCCAAGAAGCATCCAGCTATATGGGCTAGTCCTAGGACGGGGAAGCAGGCGTGGGAGTTCTGCACTTCACATCTCCGGCAAAGCTCTGAGCTGKGTGGATACCCCAGCAACAAATAAGATGGAGGACCAACAAAATGCCTGGGTAGCTGGCCTGGGCAGGTCATAAGCATGAAGTTGCATATGCCTGAAGTAACGYGAAAGTCTATAGAGTCAGCACCAAGTACTCGTGTAGTTTGAGATCAGATGGAGGGAGCACAAGTTGTCTTAATTGTGCCCAATATTGAGAGAACTATAGGCAAAGCAGGAGATGGGAAWCTCTCAGGTGTCAGATGAGCTGTCCAGAGGAATAAACTTAAAAGAGCTGAAGCCTCCGTGGAAGAAGAAGAATGGGAAGACCCCAAGATGCAACTGTTTGCCTTTAATACAGGAAGAGTTTTGGTCTGGGTTAAAATTGTGAAGTTCTTCAGGGCACCACTGGGGTAGTTTGCTGAAGCCAGACAGGTGCTTTTTCTTTCCCACCTAGCTCAGAGGCAAACTTCAATGTCTTGGTTTCCCATCACAGAATGACTGAGGTTGGAAGGGACCTCCAGAGATCATCTAGTCCAATCCACCTGCAGAGACCAAGGGTCAAGAGGAAGGTGGAGGAGGAAAGGCAGCCTAGTAAATCCATGCTAACCCTGGCCATCCTATCACTCCCAGCAATCTACAATAATCTTCTTGTGCTCGAAAGTGGAACTGCATGGAAAAGATGACCTTAAACCTTCTCCAAAGCCCTATCTCAGCTCACCAAAAGAGGAGTGCACTGAGAAATGCAAGAGTTCAGTGGAACAAAACATTCCCAAGGCCTTTCCTTTGGGTGTCTGCAGTGGTTTTCTACGGAGAGAAATTTTAGTTAGCTCATTTAAAGACAGCTCGAGGGTTAGAAGCAGAGCAACTGTTTCAGCGCAGTGCTCTCCCTGGGGTAATATTGTCTGCACCTTAGCAGCAATAGCTGAAGCCCTACAGAAAAGGCAGCTACTGGTTATGGGCTCCGAGCTGGCCTGGGATTTTCCATGCAGCAGGGCTGGGGCAGAGCTGCCGTCTTGCCAAAGCAGAGAGCAGTAATTGCTCCATCCACAGGCAACCATAAATGATGGAGCCAGAGCTCCGTACAGCAGGAAAAGGGCGACTTGTCCTTCACTGGGAGCTATCAGCATCCACAGCAGTTCTGTGGGATTAGGGAGAAGTCCCAAACCATGTGGACAGCACTGCTGTCCACTCCGAGCAGGTCAGCACACTGGGAAGGGGGTAGAAAGCAGGCATCCTTCTGCTTTCTAAAGGGATCCCTCCAAATCTTTTTCTCCCTCTCTCTGCTTGGGAGTTTGCTATTGYCTGTAAGCTCGAGCTTCCTAAAAAGCACTTTTCCAGCCAACATTAGCTCAGCTTCAGGCAAGCCCTCCTTGTGGAGGTTCACATTTCGAGAAGCAGACTGGCCAGAACGAGCGCCTGGCCACTTGGGCTGTACAAAGTTTGGAAGGTTCCACTCTCCTTATAAAAACTGTTTCCTGAAAGATCTGGCAGAGTCCTTAGACGACTGGCCCAACTGAGCTCATTTGTTTTCTTAGTTCATTCTTTCCTGGGGTCTCCATAGCATCATCTCCCCAGCCAACAAATGTGTAACCCTTAGCAGGCCAGCTCCTCCACGCAAGGGCTGAGCTGCTGGGACTGTCCTGCACAGAGCTCATCACGGGCTCCYGAGGCCGGCCCCGGGTCTGCAGCGGATACCACGGTGAGCTGGAGGCATTTCCGAGGCCATCCTCACCACCCCGTGAAGCCGGGCAGGATGTGTCAGTGGCTCAAAGCCAGCAGAAGTAGCCAAGAGTTGACTTCCAAATTCCCCTATATGGCAGCAGAGGATTTGCAGGGACAGCRCTGAAGTGCCCTGTCGTCCTGCCAGTCTGAACCTGACACATCCAAGCTGTGCGACAGGAGGAGTTTGGTGCTGACATCGTGGAAAGGAGAYCCCCTGGCTCCAAACTGCCCTTCTGAGAACTCAGCTTCATACCTCAGAAGAGATGAGCGAGCTGAAGRGCTTCCACCTACAAGGGTAGTTTTTGGTATAATCAGAGACCTACTGCAAAAGYCCCAAAACTTCCAGAAATTTCCAACAAGTTCAATCTATGAAGCAAACAACATTAGCACACAAACTAACCCAAAGTGAACGGCATTCCTTGGGGCTGGATGCTCTAACTACAGCGTAATCACGGGGCTTTCTTCCCATTCCAGGAAACCAGCCTGAGAGACAATCCCAGATGGCATCTCCTCAGGTCGCGGTGGTGACCCTGAGCTTGAGGCTTAGGGGTTTGCTAAGAATGCAGCAGCAGCAGGACGCACAGGGCAGCAGGAGACATTTTTTAGTACTTTGGTGGCCACATTGTCTAATGTTACCATAGAACTGGCTTCCCAGAAAGCAGCATATTTTCAGTAAGCCCACTGGAGCCAAATCTTCACTGGTAATGAAATTCAGATGCTAAAAATGTTGCTAACAGGGGGGACTGGGAACAAACTACGGAACTCAGAAGCCTAACTTCATCACCGAGTTAGCAAGTCTAAGTATATCCCATGCACAACTAGCAGAGGAAGACCTTGGCCTGTTTGCACTGAGCTCTTTCTGAAGGCCTAGGAGACAGACACAGACAGTTTTGGGGTCAGTTTTAAGTAAAAAAGTTCACTGCCATCCTGAACCGGGAAGGCCATGAACTGATCCAGGAAGGAGCTACACTGTTTTCCACATCCTCTAGCACGGCCAGTAACTACTAAGAAGGCCTTCTCCTACTCCCAAGTGAAGTTGTCTTTCAGGGATAGACACAACTTGCAAGCCACCCGACCACCACGCTCACAAGAAAGCCACTGTCTCCTCACTCATCTCCTCATCGGGAAGCAGATGTGGCCAAACCACCACAGCAGTGCTCAGCTATTGCAAGCCATTCCAGGAATATGTCAAGAAAAAAACTCTGGTAGAAGCATATTTTTGCAGTTTTCTAAGTCAATGTGTGACCTCTGAGAACTGTATTATTTAAGCCTATTGCAGAAAGGAGACTACGGCAGAAGCGCAAAAGTCTCCACATAAACTAAGGTAACTAGCCCGTACAGAGCCTGGCCATCTCACCATCCCCAAACTGCCTTATAACACAAAACTCTGCCTTTTTTCTTCTCCCAGCTCCTTCAACCTCTTTTTCCCCCCGCAATGGAAATCCTAGTGACATGATACTTAGCAAAGGGGAACTATCTCAAAAGAAAGAAGAAATAAATATTAAGGAGCGAGCTGCAAGAACCAGTGTTCATGACAGGCTTCCTGAGCCAAATCACAGCCTTCCAAAAACAGCAGCATTTTGGTGGGAATTCTTCACAAGTGCAGCACAGCCAAACTGTAATTCCAATTTTTCCAAGTTACGCCCTTTGCCAATTTGGCTTCAACTTTTCCTCTCCACTCCTTGCTGGCAGGTAAAACAAGTAAAGCAATGGCTTTTCCTCTACACTAATGTCAAACGTGCTTTGGTTTTCCTGATGTTCCCATCCAAGGATAAGACCTCTATGGAGAATCCAGACAATATCGCTCTTGCTTATGAAAGAGGGTAAATTATTCTCTTCATGCCAGTCAGAGAAAACTGAAGCCCTACAAAACAGCTTTACATTTCTGAAAAAAAAAGCCACAAGGCACAACATAGCCCACAGGGTTACATTAAATGGACTTGACAGTCACTGGAAGTGATTACGGAACCGTGACATTTCTAAATGGATCCATTAGCTACTTGGGGCTGGGGATAAAGACAACTTTGTGGTCAACTCCATTAGTTATGGGTGTATGAAAGAGTATCAGGGTCTCCTCTGCCTGGGTATTTTTGCCATATTTTTTCCTGCTCTCCCTTAACAGTAGCATGAAAAGGCAGCCACAAGCAATCCCCAATCCTCAAAAAAATTGGAACGGATCTTTACGTTGTTTACTAGGGATGCAGAAATGCTCAGCTGCACATTGGGCTGTGGCAGGGCACGCATCACACCACACATRTCCTGCCTTGGAGAAGCCAGTCCCAAACGTCACAGGAAGAAGCCATCACTGTCAATTAGCTCCACTTATCATTTGGAATTCAATTTGTTATTTCCTTCTCTCTGCACTCCTTGGAGTTGCACGTGGCAGGAAAACCAGCTGGCAAACAGTTCCCAGGGAGCCTCGTCACCATCCACAGTGCTAGAATAGCCAAGCACTGGACCCCTTTCTATCAAATATATATGTTTTAATGGGCACAGTGCAGACCAAATAACTTGCTGCTACTATGATAGTTTAAGGAGGTAAGATCTAAAGCACGTGGGTGGGCATATACTGGGGAAAAGAAATTGCTTTGCCAAAACAGCATCATCTTTGCTGGAGCTTGTTGCACCTACCTGGCAGAAAGGGGATGATCCTTTGCTTGGGGTCCTTCTGACCTCCTTCCATTGGAAACTTGTCCAGCATTTGCATCTAAAAAAGGAAATGCGAGAGGTGGTTAAAGGCAGAGATGAACTCGAGCAGCACAAGGCCCCTCTCCTCGGGAGGAGGAAGGCAGAGCAGCGCAGTCCTCAGAGCTTGCCTGTAACACTGCTGGTCGGGTCGCCGTGACCCGCGGCACTGTGAGAGCAGCRGAGCCCATTGCAGGACACTGCACACCCAAAGCACTCACAGAAACATGGGCTCTTGCCAGTGTTTTCCCCACTTCCCTCTGTTTTCAAGGTTCAAGCCATTTTTCAGCACTGAAGGTGCTTTCTACTATCATTTTGTGCATCACGGGCAGCTAATGTAACCTGCACTGCTGTAACTATTAGGTTTCATCCCAATTTGCTTCAAGCACTAGGACTGGGAAACTTCTCCAAAACACATAGTTTCGGCTTATTAGCTCAAACATAGCACAACACTGACACAGTTCCTGGACTGCAGCTCACTTGGACTCCAAGCACACACTCGTGTTTGCTTGCAAAACATCAGAAAGATAAGCCTCGAGTTTGGGGAAGGCTTTGGGCTACGCAGGGTTGGAGAGGCTATTTTGTAGGATCTCCTGCGTGAAATGGAACAGTTCCCTGGTTGGTGTGACTGCAGGGGACTGCGCTCAGCAAGTCTGGTCTTTTCGGTGCTCCTTTATCTCTTAGGACTCTTCTCCTAAGCACAGGACCTCAGGCAAGGAATTTTATCTATCGACACAGCTGGAGCCACGACGACGTCTCCCTCAGCAGGGCTTGCTGCTAATCAACTCCCACTCTCATTAGGGGTCTGCACTGCCGCTTCAGGGCACGCGCACAACTCTCTAGGCCTCCAGCATCCACAGGGCTTAACACCTAAGCCCTGGCAGGATCCACGTCTTCAGCATTTCCTTTGCTCCATCTTGCCAGGAAACACCAGCTGCATCGGGCTCTGCACTTAACATGAAGCTGAAGAGGAGGAGGAAGAGCACGGTTGTGCATTCAGCAGCTTTTTATAAGGGGCCTGCTTTTCACTTGCTTTTATAGGGGTTATTCACGGGCTTTTTATAGGGGGGCTGCTGCTAGCTGAAGGCTGTGGATTCGTCTGCTGCTCGGCACAGTCTTACTTTGAGTGCTGTGATAACAACGTTTCATCCATACAACCTTCTGTGCCCCTGCTCTGTCACCTGCAATATGTGCCTTTTATTTTCTCTGCTCTCAAAAGGCACTTGAAGTTTGCAGGAGAGGGAGCAAGGAGAAGGGAGGCATTTTACCTAGTATATTTGAAGAAAAAACACAAACTTTCCCCAACATGTGCAAATACAATGAGGGGAAGAAAAAAAAACCTCTCCAAAACATCTTAAAAGCAGGATGAGACTAAGCACAAACAGACCATGTTTACGGCTTGTTTCAATACAAATTTTGAAGCGTTTGCAACAAAGAGAATGAATCCAGACTCAGCAATAACTGGAGACTGCTSTGACGTTAGGGAAGCCACAAACAGAGCGTGGCCGGGACGGGGACGGTTTCCCTGAGGCCGCGGCGGCCAGGACCGTTTCAGCGGCGCTGCTGGGCACGAGCGCCCTCCCGTCCGCCCCCCGGGCCACCGAGAGCGAGGGTTACACGGGATGCACAGGGCGCTGCCTCGCTGTGTCCCTGGTGRAGAAGGGGCACAAATGACTCTCAGCCCACTCTGCCTGTTTGGAAGGCCTAGGTAGAGCTTGTGATTGAGGAAGGACAAGGAAAACAAGTCACAAATACCACACACGCGATGGCTGTTCAGCCACGCAACACTTGAGTCACGGGGAGCTTTCCCCTCCCCTAATTTCTGAATGTGAGCTGCGTATTTCTCACTCCTGGGAGTACTAAGAGACTCCAAGGCACACGCAGTGCAAGATGCGTTTTCGCCCCTACACACATGCCTGCACACAACGTTCTTGCAAAACCAGTAACATCCTTCGCAGAGCTCCCAACCATATGATCCCAGCAAGCCCAGCCAGAACTTCAGCCTGGGAAGTTCCCCATTTCCTGCTCTTTTTAAAGACTGAAAGTGCATCCTCAGAGCAGGACACGAGCGTGTCGGTGCTCCGCAGCCTGGCTCATCCCTCTGCTGGGAGCACCAGCCCAGCCCAAGGTGACCCCAGCAATACTGSGAAGGAGGAGAAAGGTGGGGAGAGGAGGAAGCTGGAAGGGCAGAGCACATGGGCGCCCAGCCAGCCCGGCTGCCACATCACACAGCACGAGAGACGGTGGCCAAGGCCAGTGCCTTCATTTACTAGACTCAAGCTTGTGGTTGAAGCAAAGCTAAAATCTCCCTCCAAAGCAAACAAAGCCAGAGCCGGCTCTAAGCACGGCACGCAGAGCCCACGTCTGCAGAAATCCAGCTGCTTGGTCACGGGCTGACAGTCCCAGCATCACAGCCCTACACGACTGAAAGCTGCAGCAGGGACAGCMTCTAATAGCAAGGGGAAAAAGGGAAATTTGGTGTTGAGAGGAACCCAGGCACCAGGTTTGCTAAGTTTTGGTGCTTATTGCACCCTTTCCAGCAGAGTTTGAAGGCCAGGGTTCAGCAACCACAGAGTCTTGCCAGGACCCAGAGAGCCCTGGCCAGCGCACAGCAATGGGAAAGTGCAGAGCCACTCCGCGAGCCCTGATGATGATGGTGAGGAGGGATGCCCGGGYACGCATCAGAAGATGAGCTACAGAGTCCAGAGCGTGCCGAGGCCTGGCAGCAGGTTCCCTCGCAGGGTGCCCTGCTGCAAGGCCTCGGCAAGGAAGCACGCGCTGCAGCCAGCCGGGAATTCTGGAACCGAGGAGGTCGGCACAGGGAGACTCCCGCAAATCATGTCAGCAGCACGAGGTTCCAGCCAAGCATGATCACATCACGTTCTCCAAAGGGAAAACTGCCCAGACATCCCAGCTCCTGGGGAGAAGGGGGGACAGGCGGACGGGAGGCAGAGACAGGGAGCCCTTCAAGGCAGAGCTGTTCCTGCGAAGCAGGGACGCAGCAAGGGGGCCCAGGGCCAGCCTCGCTCTGGGCAACACAGGCAGCCAGGTCAGTCAGAAAAACAAAGGAAACGGAAGAAACAATAATCCTATTGTTTTCCTCTCCAGAATTATTTAAAAATATCTCTGAGAGAATCTCTCTTTTTTTTTCTCCCCTACAAGTTAAAGTAGATGCAGTTTCAAGCACTTTGGCTCCAAGGGCAGCATCAGGCGACTCACTGCATGCTCGTCAATGCTGGAGCCCTGTTGCAGAGCGCCCAGGGCCTGAGTACCTGTTCCCTGGAGAAACAGCAGCCTCCAAACCAGGCTCCGACCAACAGCAAGTCAGGGCAGGGCAAAGAGCCAAGTCTCTCCTGTTATTTCTTACTATCTTATATTTTACGTTTGCAATTAGCCATATTTCTTATTAACCCAGAAATGTCTGCATGGTGCCTTGTTTCTGGAATCAGTGCRGAGGCTCCTCTCCGACCTGCTTGTTCCCGCTCCTCCCGTGGCTGTGCTGGGTGATAACACTGTTCGAACCACCCAGGGACACAGCCCTGCAGGAGCAGCTGCACATCAACAGCTAACGCTTTGGCAGACACTGCCTTCATTCACAGGAAGCTAGAAGATAACGCCGTACGTGAATTAACCCTCAGTGCTGTGGGCTACAGTGATGCTAGGGAGAGGGGAGGATGCACCAATGTGGTGCAATTCTCCCCAGGAGGCAGAGGCTTCCCGAAGGGYTTGCCCAGGGAAGAGCTGCTAGCTGTGCAGACAGCGCCGTGCCACAGGGACACAGGCTCTGCTGGAGGAGCAGGGCCCCAGGTCCAACAAGCCGCGACTCGGCCCCCACAGTGCTCAAGTCACGAAACTCAGAGAAAATGCTAAAAAGACAACAAAAAAACTGCCACGCTTTGTTTCTTTTCATCTGCTWTCTGAAGGAAAAACTTCAACTTTGCATTTCAGTGGCAAGAGTTGTGCTTTGAATTCTAATTTACATCTGGTCTGGTGGGAGGGCAGTTTCAGGTGAGATGGAGGACACAGCTCCGCATTCCCCTGTACCGACAAAGCTGGAGGGACGTGCGATCACCCCAGCCCGTCCCCAGCAGCCGGTGGGCACCGCGGGATTTGCTCTTGTCAAGCTGCTCTGGCGGGCTCCGAGGCTCTGGTTTTCCATTAACGAGCATGAGGGCACATATTGGGCACGTACCAGAACAGCCGAAGAGAAAGCAGGTCTTTGTCAACTCGTGGCGGGGACAGTGCACGTCATAAAAAAGCAGAGGCCCCCGGCACGCAAGGCCAGAGCGATGAAACAGGCGGGTGAAGGAACAAACTCTTCCACTCTTGCACAACACCCGCGCACGCGGCCGCAGCCACGGGGGGGGGAGACGTGGCCGTTCATCAGTGGAATTATCTCCAGCCGTGCAAAGGGGCTCCGAGCAGAGCTGCGCTGCTCTGCCCTGGCCGGGCGAGTGATGGCCTCATCCACGCCTGCACCACACACTGCAGCGATCCACACCACAGCACTCAGCTCTTGACAGCAAAGGAAAAAAACATAAAAAAAAAAAAAAAAAA